GATAATATAAATAAAATATTATTTTTTTATCATATTCTTTAAAAAAACATAGGAGTGCTATCCCGCTCCATTTATAAGCTAATTATCGAGTAATAATGCTTTTTATCCTTTTCGTCGGCAAGAGTGTATAGTAGTTAAAATGATCAGATCACCAAAAAGTCATTTAGCTAATTAATGATTAAACTCAATCTACTATAAAATTGGTAAAAATTAATGAAATTATTGATGAAATTTTTTTATTAATAATTTTTATTGACAAACATAATTTTATCTCTAATTTTATTGGTATATACCAACAAATCTTTACTATAATAATAATTATCAATAGCATAGAGTCTGTCTGTTATTCCATTAATATATACCAATCCAATCGGATTTTTGATAAAATATATAAAATTTTAAAAAGGTGTAATGGTGATAACATGGATTTTTTTCAAATGATTATTATTACATAGAAGCATCTTCTGAACCAAGTTGACCGAATTGTGAATACGGGTTGAGGGCATCAAGAAATGCGTTTCTTGTATAGAAGTTTTTCCCAGCACAACCTGCACCAGCTTGACTGATTATGCCATTGAAGAAACTTGGTGTAACAATGTTAGCTAGAGATGCACCACCACCACCACTAGGTGTGCTAGGTGAAGCATGACAGGGCCCCTGTTTACATCCTTGGCCACAATAGGCATTCCCAGTGCCACAGTAGCCATATTGGCTGCAGCAGAGGTTTGCTGCGCAGCCACATTTTTTAGCTCCGTTTCTGGGCACGGCTCCTGCAAGAATAACGGCTAAGATCACCAGTAGATGGCTTCTCATTTTGAGTATTCATTGGAAAGATAATTTGAAATAAAAATAAATAAACTTTTTAAAATATTCTTAAAATACAAAAACAAATAAGATACCATGAATGCGACCACTGATTCTCTACCTCAACTGAGACCAACATCCCATTAATCACTGTTCCAACCTTCCCATTAGAAAAATAGAACAAACCAAGACTTAATTAACCATGCATGGAGTTCGAGAAGAATTGACCAACTCATTCAACACTGACTTTTAAATACTTTGTATAAATTGGGTGTCCACTTCCAGTCTTCCAAAACCTTAATGATATTATATCAAACTAATTAATTATATTTATTATTCTAATTAAATGATATTCACTTGAAAATATATTAAAATAACTCTCTAGTATCCTTTCCCTTTGACCCAACAAGCAATTGACTGACCAGTTCAACATGGCATGCTGTCAAATCATATCCAATGAATCAAGTTCTTATATGACATGGTGTTCACTCTCCTAACAATGTCTTCATTTCCCATCAGCTTTCTTCCCAGTTACAGTAGCTTGATTTGGTTGAATGAATGACCTCATTAATATAAAACCATTAAGCCTGTAAGGAATCCAGGACGACAACTCACTTCCGGTGAATATAGATACGGTTTTTTTAATATTTTAAAAGCATTTTTTAATTAATTTTTTTATTTTTAATTATTAATTTTTTTGCTGTTTTTAAATTATTTTCATATCCTGATATCAAACTATCCAGCTTGATTTGTTTTTTGAACGCTTATCTCTAGATAATTTTGCTCTCTTCTTGAGAGAAATCTACACAGGCCTTCACCTCGTTGCGCAACTACTCTTATTAACGTGACTATAACATGATTCATAGGTGACGTCGACCCTTAACCAGATTGCATTAACCTTCATTTCACACATCTGATTTGGAACTTCCACCCTAGCTAAGCATGCAGTAAACACATTTGCAAGAGTTAACCTAGCCAGAATGCATCAAAGCAGCAGAGCACTCTCACGTGACAAAATTAGAAAATATGTTATTTTCATAATTATAAATATATTTTCCTTCATCAAAAAATCAAAATCAAAATTTATAATAATCATCTTAATTATTAATATTTGCAGTTATAATAATTTTATCATTTAATATCAATTTTATTCCATTCATGTTAAAGATTATCATTAAAAAGTTCTACTTCTTAAATAATAAAAAGAAATATTTTATTTTTATATTATTTATTTTTGTTTAGTAGATTTTTTAAAAATATATATTTCTAAATTATTATTGACGGGTTATTGACATATATAATATATTGATATATTTCAAAGAATTGAAAAAAATTAATACAAATATTATTTTCATTATTTACTCACTAATAAAATACCAATAAATTCCAAGCAATAAAAATGTATTGCTCATGTTATTTTTTATTTGTATGATGGTTGCATATTAAATTTGCTATAAATATACCAATAAATAAATAAATATTGATGGAATGACATACGGTTTTTATGTCAATGATATATTATATTCAACGATAAAAATACAGATAAATTAAAGTAGATTAAAAAAATTTTGATACACTTTATCTGTTAATAAATACATCTATAAAATTATTATCAATGAATTACAAATCACCTATAAGAGTTTTTTTGTCGGATTATTTTTATATGTGATCATGTTGGCAAGTTTTTTGTCAATAGACTGTGAGTATAAATAACAATAAAAAATTTTGTTGATAAATTTAATAATTCTAGTACTATGAAGAATCAATTAAAACTAATATAAAAAGAAAAAAAAATTAAAACAAGATATCTAACACTGACCAATATATATATATATAAGGACATGAGTGCTAATCTCTCTGTTTTTTTTTTAGAAAATTTAATAGTAATTTCATCAATACTCCATAAAAAAAGTACAAAATATTGTAAATTAAAGCTTGTTATTTGAAAGAGGAGTCCTCACAACATCAAAGCTCGGAGCTATCCAAGTTGATTATTCCATGACAAGTACTGAGGTTATTTAGAATCACATTAATTAATTGTTTAAGAATAACCAAACAGCTGAGGTTATTGCCAGGAACAACACCAAGTTCATTGCAATAATCTCTATAATACCCAATACGAGTCCGAACGGTTCCAGGATTCCCTCCATTACATTCAAGTTGACCATTAATGGCTCGGATTGTTGCTCCAAAACCTTGGTTTAAGACAGGACGGACGTTGTTCATCCAAAACCACAGGGCTGTCTTGAATGCCACGACGGGATCTTTTGCGACCATGTCAGGATTGTTCAGTCCATCAAAGTCGTTGCTCTTTCCGGCTGGCCCGTAGTTGAAGTTCCATGATATTTGAAGTGGCCCACGGCCATGGTATTTCTTGCCGGGAACACATGGGTATTGTTTGTTGTTTTCCTCGCAGTAGTCACGAGATGCACCATTTATTTCTTCTATATAGCAGAAGTCTGCAAATTAAGATAGTCCTAGCATGTTTTAGTAAAGGACCAGCCTTTATATAGCCAAGTCTTATGATAAAAAATAACAAATTATCATGCTAAAGAAGAAATGTTATGATATAACATTTACCACATATGTGAAATATTGCAAGAGATGCTAAATATTGAATGGGGTGGAAACGGAACTTACGTCCAGTCTCATGTGTGACATGAGCGAAGAAAGCTGCAATCTCTCGCTTAGAAGCATCATCTGAACCAAGTTGACCGAATTGCGAATATGAATTGAGGGCATCAAGAAATGTATTTCTTGTATAGAAGTTTTTCCCAGCACAACCTGCACCAGCTTGACTGATTATGCCATTGAAGAAACTAGGTGAAACAATGTTAGCTACAGAAGCAACACCGCCACTCGGTGTGCTAGGTGAGGCAGAACAGGGCCCCTGTTTACATCCTTGGCCACAGTAGGCATTGCCAGTGTGCCACAGTAGCCATATTGGCTGCAACAGAGGGTTGCTGCACAGCCACAACTTTGAGCCTCGACCCCTTTTTTGGGCACGGCTACTGCAAGGATTATGGCAAAGATAATGGTCAGTAGGTTACTTCTCATTTTAGGTATTGTTGAAGGGAGCTTTGATACTGATATTCAAATAAGGTCTGAGGGTTGGCTATTTATAGAGGCACAAAATGCACGAGATACCTGTATCTTTACGTGTTAAAGATCCAGGCCTCCCTCAACTTGCACAGTATCAAGTAGTAATTAAAGATAGTAAAACATTTTGATTTGTTTTTGTTTTAGATTATTTTTTTATATTTTTTTTATAATTTTGATTGCTAATATCTAAAAATTATATTATTTTAAAATATATCCAAACAAAAAACATTATGAGTATAAACATTTTCTTAGTCAATGACTTTTGTTTTTTTTTTTTGGTAAAATATTTTAATTAGCCGAGACCAGACTGATCATCTTGACTGACCATGTCAATGTAAAGACAATAGTGTTGTGTCTGATAGCTAATTAAATTATTAAATCGATCATATATGAAGCAACTTATTTTGACTTGGTATCTACTGTATGTATTAGATGGATAAAATCCTATCCTCCCCGCTAGAGCCTGAGTGAATGACCTAACTATAGGAAAGCAAGGACGGCAACTCATTAGCTTGGCAATGTCAAGTTTTTGAAGTTAGGTATTTATATTTAAATAAATATAATGTTATTTTGATTTATTTTTTAGTTAAAAATCTTTGGATATACCAAATTAATCAATTCAAAAAAGGAAAGTAACAAAACAGCAATCACAAGTAACATACAATTTTATTGAACACCTCAATTCAAAATTTATTACTGAATTTTATTTTTTTATCAAATAGTTTACCTCTCTAATATATATTTTTCCTCCTCTTCTTCCCTCTTTTCTCTTTTAGGTTTGCTTGGGCCAACCCTTTTCCCTTTGTTCTTCCTTCTTCTTTCCTTTTCTTTCCCTCTCTTCTCCTCTTATTTCCTGGCCTCAGCTAAGCCTGATGGGTTCTGTTGGGTTGCTCTTCTTCTTCTCCTCCTCCTCCTCCCAGAGGTTGGGCCCTATCACTTCTTATTAGGCCCAGCAATTCTAAGTCCATCATTTTATGTCCACTGCTTTTGCCACCTGCGGGAAAGAACGCTAGTTTTCCAGGCCTCCTGCGGCGGGCATCATTTTTTAACTAGAGGCACTACTTGCTTTTATGCAGGATCATGAAATTTCTCAGTAAGGTCTTAAAAAAGGCACTCAATTTTCAATATAAAGATACATGCTACAAGATATCCACAAAATCTTTCATATCAATGACAAGCAGAACACTAAATTTTTTCTGAAACTGCGACAAGAAGGGCAGTCAACAAAAACCCATCAATCAATCTATAATCGCTCAAAGAATACTTTCCAGAAAACAACCTGAGCACGCTTGTGGTGAATAGGAAGTTAGGAGGGAATGAAAAATATCCTTTCATGGGAAGTATAGTAGCCAAAGGCTTTCAGACTCTCTTTGGTTTCTTCTTTACGTCCCCTTCTTTCTTATCACTTTCTGCTGCCTTTTTCTTATCCTTCCTTTCCCTCTTCTTTAGAGCTGTCATATGAGCCTTGAGAATAGTTGCATAAGAAGCTTGGAAGCGCTGGTGATCCCTTGCCCCAACCTTCACAGACAAAAAGCAAAGAGATACTGTTAGCCAGGCTGAACAGATACATGAATATACGAAATGATTAAAGAAAGCACTGAAGAATGGTGAATACATATCAAGCCCTACTATGTTGTTACAAAAGATAAGGACCAAGATGGAAAAGCAATTCTGAATTAACACATCTAGGCATAAGCCAACATCTTTGATCTCTTTTCGACACCAAAGTGGGAGATACCTCTAGCACCAGGCAAAAGGTGCCAAGTATGGAGTTGAACCTCATCCCTCTCCCCCACCCACCCAACCCAACCCACTTGAGCAACAATAAAGAGAAAAAATACATTCCTTCAATAGCAGTTATACAGAAAATAGCGACATGTTAATAGTAATTGCTATAGTTTGCATCCCTGCATATGTAGTTCATGGCCAAGGTAAGCAACACAATTTGAATTTTATAATCCATCAAAGTGCCCAATACAGATTCCTTATTCTATCATGACTACCTCACAACCATCATTTGTAGAGTTGAAACTCACCAGTTGAAAGGCTAAAACAGGCCTTCAATACACTTATCATTTGAACTACCTCCGAAAGACCTTTCTAATGTCTTATCATTTGAAGGCCTAAAGTTAAAAGCATTTTTCAACACAACATAACATGAAGTCCTCACGTAAAAATGCAACAAAACAAGGTCATATTTGGTAACAGGAACAGCTATTGAAATGCTGCGGATGCCACATTCAAAACTCTCCCCACCCTTGACCACACATTAACCTAGAATTTGAAATGACAATAACTGGCCAAACAATCCTGGAATAAAGCCTATGTGGCTGTAAATCTTAAGCAGGGTTTGCTAAACACAAATGACTTTCCAACACCCAGTCTAAATGCAATTTCAGAGTGTTTTCAGCAGACAGAAAGGACTCTTCCAATTCAAATGTCCACATAACAGCATGAACACGCAATTAATATTACAAAACTTGTATGACAACACAGATTGATGTTTCCATACCATTTGTAGAAACAACAATACTACAAATCAAGTGATTTTTGGAGTCGCATATCTAATTCTCATTTAATCCAAAATATAGATGTCAAGAACAGGATCCTTCTTGTAAAGTAAATAGCATTATGAAACTCTTTTTTTCCCAATTTAAACAGTCACATCAATCCAAACAAAGTTTCAGATGTTCGAGGACATTAAATTTCGTTTGAATGCAAAACTCACTCAGCAGATCTTACATTTAGGATCATCACAAAATGTCATCAACAAGCAGAAAACAGGTGTGTTGGGAGGTAATAGGTTGATCACTTTCTATTTATTTTTTTTAATCAATGGGTTAAAGTTGAATTGCAATTTAACCAAAACAAAGGAAGAAAGCGACCAAACTCAAAAAGGCCCGTGTCAGAGTTAATATAACACACAACTAAGCAAGTATCAATAACACCTCATCATATTCACATCGATCTAGCAATTCTTGGGGTCATGCAAGACTTCCTTAAATTACCACCAAATCTCAAGTTTTCCAACAATGCCTTGTTTTTTAAAGGCAAACCCTTCTTCGTCAGAAGTAGTAAATTTGCCTATAGTCTCAGATTCATATTTCACACAACCACCTCATACCCTTTCCTTCAGGAACAATCTGAATGAAAATCCAGTACAAAACAATCCTTAAACAACCAATCATAAAAATGCACATGTTTCTAACTTAAAACAATTCTATAACCAGAGAGCAAGGAAGCTTTTGAAGGTAAAGAAGATATTCACCGAAGTAGAAATAGTCTTTTTGCCATCGGTTGCACGTATAAGACATCTATACTCAATGGGTTCACCATTAGTTGTCATCTTATTCCTTTGCACCTTAGATTTCATCGAAGCTACCAAAAACAATTATCAAAATCAGACAATAAAAGCTCTAACCAATCAAAAATTGAGGACCCAGATAGATTAATCGCAGAAAGATACTAAAAGGACAAAAGGGTCAATAGATTAAGGTAAAAAATAGAAACTTACAACGTTTAAGAGTAACCCAAATTGAGCCTTTGTCGGTGCTGTTTTGATACAAGGTTGTTAGTTCATTGAGAAACGGATCGAGTTGTAAGAGAACCTGAATTGAATTGAACAAACATCATCATCAGATTTTATAAGACATAAGAAAAATATTAGTGTTAGATTCAGAATTGAAGAGTGTGAGAGATCAAGATTCGAGACTTACCATGATTTTTTTTGCCTTGGGAGATTTTAACTGTAGGGCACGGCATACATGAAGTGCCGAGGAGAGGAAGAAGGGCTTATTTGTTTTGTATACTCGCCTTCTCCTAGAAAGTTATTGGGCCTCTATTATTGGGTTTTTCTTTTCTTCAAATGAGCCCATATATATATTAAGAAATCCATAAAAATTAAAAACAAAATACTATAAAAAAAAACATGAGATCGGTTGTACGTTCATATGAACACTCAACTTCCTAAAAAAAAATTCATTTTCAAAGTTTCTCTCTTCTGATACAAACTTTCTATAGCCTAAGTAAATAGAATTAGGCTTGGAATCATGAAGATGATATCAAATTAAAAGCATTGTTGTTAAAATTATGAATTAACTAGTATGTTTTTACAAATTAATATATATTTAATATGTAAAATCAGATTAAAAACTCAAAAACCAATAAGATTAGATTGAATTCATGCAAAATTGATAAAATTAGTACACTCGATCAAATTTTATGAGTTTACTAAATTTATAATATTAACAAGGTCGAGTTCAAGTTTGGTTTTAAAATATTTGCTGACCAGTTTTGTGAAATTAAATATATTTTTTAAATCATACAATGGATAGAGCTGAAATTTTATAAGAAAATGGTAGGCATATGAAAATATATTGTGGTATATTTTTAGGTCAAATAGAGTTCGGGAACTTAATATTTCAGAGGGTCAAAATTAGTAGACAAAACTTGTCAAATATGTAAAACTAGATGTTTGTATAATGTTTGGGATATATCTAAAGTTACCGATCGAATATTACTGATATTAAAGTTAGGGTAGAATCTAGACATATAAAGTTTCCAACTATATATAGTAGACTCAGTAATTCATCCAAACAAGAGAGACAACATGTTTTAAATCATGATTCAAAACTATCAAAAATATGTGAAAATTAGAATTCGAGTTACATGGAGGAATTTTAATATAAAGATTTTTTTTGTTATTTTTTTATTTATTTTTGAATAATTATTTTTAATTTTAATTTTTTTTAGTGTATTAGACATTGTTTAGGGGTTTATTTTATTATTAATTTTATATTAGTTAATTATTAGTTTAGCAACATTAGCTTGTAACCCAAAAGAAATTCATTAAGACTTATTGTGATAGAAACAACCAATTTTTCATCCGGTTCTGAAATTTTTTATTTCTCCTTGCTAATAATTTATTGATTCTCGTACTATCTATCTCTCTTTTTTTATTTAAATCACTCATTGATTAAAATATTGTTAACTCACTTTTTTAGATTTTAATATAATTTAATTTATTGACTAGAATTGTCACTATATAATTAAATAAAAAATAATTACTTATAATTTTATGATCTGAGTTTATAATCCGAGTTTATACTGTATTTTTTATGTTGTGTCAAAAAAATTTTTTGACAACCTTAGTTAAGAGATAGTAACTAAAAAGTAAAATATAGAAAAAATAGGCTGCTCAATTCAAATTTATGATAATTTTCATTTTGATTCCAATTTTTTTTTGTTTATTTTTTAGCTTCTAAGTTAAGAAAATAAAAAACAAACTCATTAAAAATAGCAAGAAGATAAAAAGATATCAAATTTTTAATGATTTGGTTATGAAAGTTGGGAGAATTGACGTTCATGGGCTCTATTCAATAAGGTAAAATTGATGTGGTTGTTTTGAGTCTTCATCTTGCCCAGAAACATATAGAGGTAGAGAGTAAAAAAAATTTGATTTTTTTTTTGTATTTCTGGTTATTTAATTCTCTTTTTTTTTTAGATTTTTAGGGTGTTTATTAGATACTTTAGGTCCAAATAGATGAAAAAATCAAGTTTTAAAGGGAAAAAAACCATAGCCTTGATTTTTCATCTACCACAATAATTCTAGCTTGATTTTTCATCTACCACAATAATTCTAGTAGAATTTTACGCAAAGACAAATGTTTCTTCTTCTACCCCTTAAAAAAGAAAAAGAAAAAACAACATCTAAATATATAGACCTAAATTCGAAAGCCCTAGTATATGGGCTTATTTTTAAAAGCCTATGGGCATTGGGCTACCCAAGTCAAGCTTGTCCAATATTTTTTTTTCTTTTTAATTTTATCATTTAACTTAAAAAACAAATAATTGTTATCGCACACCTAATATTTTTTTCTTTTTAATTTTATCATTTAACTTTAAAGAAAAAGAGAGAGAGAGAGATTGTTATCATACAATTAAGTAAAATATATTTTTAAAAATAATGTTATTAAACTCATTGGAGTCCATAACTTAGGTCATACGTTTAACAGATTAAATCACAAAATCTGAGTTAATACAATATATTATTATCTTAATATTTTTTAAAATCAAGATATCATCTTGAAAACTTTTTTTGAAAGTCAAATCATATTTTTTTACCAGTTTTCTAAGTTATCCTTGTACCTACAAAGTCAACAAAAACAGAAGTTTGTAAAGTTGAGTGCCAAATTAAATATGAGGATATTTATTTGAAACTGTAATAATTTCATAATAAACAAACTAAAACAAATTACAAAGATCAATTCAAAATCAATGAAATATTAAAGGATAAAATTAAAAAAAAAAACTAAAAATATTTAATCAAAATAAATGCTCACAAAATTGAGCAGTAACCAAATGTTATGATATTTACTTGAAACAGAGATAACCTCGTAAAAGTAAATCGAAATAAATTATGAAAATTAATTTAAAATTAACAAAATATTGATTGGTGTAATTAAGAAAAAAAGTGAAAAAAATCAATAAAAAATAGATGATATAATTTGTTTTCTTAAATATGATAGCTTCTTCAACATTTATATGAACATTGAAGGAACTAGAGTTTTACCCTAGTTTTTTTACTAGAGTAGATAATGCTTATGGTCATATTATTTATTATTTTTAATATTTGGAAAAAATAATTGATTATTTTTTTATTAATTTAATTTTATTCCTTTTCAATGTTTTCACTAAAGAAGTCTTTGATTAAAAACATATATTTTGTTTACTCTTCAATCCAATTATATGTGTTCAACAACCCCTATTACAAATGTATTTTTTACTATTAAATTTTTATAACTATTAAATTTAATAAAACTCATAAATTGATAAATTAATCAATATGAAACAATCATATTTATGAGGAGTACAATAATTCAAGTAAAATAAAATATAATTTTTTTTTTAATTTTTAACTTGTGGGTCAAATTATGTGAATAGAATAACCTAATAAATGGTCAAATAAAAAAAACAATGAAACTTAAACTTTAAAAATAGCCTAGTTTTGAATGGCTCAACTGAAAAATATATATAAAAAATATATGGGTTAACTAGCCAATCTTGCTACTAAATTATGAGATTAAGATAACCGAAACAAAACCAAATAAAATAACAAAACCCCATTTCCCAAATAAACAACATTGAATGAGAAAAAAATCAACCCTTAAAAGAAGGCATCATGGTGTTTCTTTGTCAAACGACGTCTTATGCACAACTATTTTTTATTTTTAAATTATATTTTATATTTATTAAAATACCGAATTACCTTTCAATTCAATCTTTTATAATAAAAAAAACCAAGGTGAAGATACAAAAATACCCTCAAGTGTCAGTTAAAGAAATTTTGCTTTAAAGGATAACTTAATTATTTTATTATGCTTTGTAAATAAAAAAACAAATAAGCTTGGGTGAATCTACTAAAGATGGGTTGCTCTTTCAAACTAGCAATTATTAAACTTCTAGATCTGGATTCAATTAAGAAACTCAATTCTTAACTAATTTTATATTAAATGATGAAATTAAAAAAATTAATATAAAACTCAAAGTGAAAAAAATCAATTAAAAGAAATAAAATTAAATTTGATGAGGAAAAAAACATAATAAAGACAAAATTATATAAAAATCAATCTTAAAATTATCTAAAATAAAATAAATAATAATTAAAAGAATAAAGATGACAAATAAAAAAAATAGAAAAGAATAAAATTAAAAAAAATAATTCCAATAACATAAACTATTTTAAAAAACAAGTACTAATAAAATAAACAGTACCAAATCTTAAAAAAAAAAAAATATTTTTTTTTTAAATATAAAATCAACAAAAAATTCAAAGAGGATGGAGAAAATTAAAAAGGGGGCTCCAACACTCAACTATAAGTGATTAAGCTACATGTATAGGCTAGGGATAAAGGTGTCACCAAAATGGCTCAAACACTTCCCCGAAAGTCATCATCTGATCACCTAACCCCACTTCACAAGTTACTAGAAGATTGCATTATTTTCCCTGCATTGACCTTTTGTTTTGGGCACAAGAATTATTACATTATTTTGAATTATTATATTATTTTAATTCACAAGGTAATAAATTTAAAGTTGTAGTGAACCCAATGACTTTTAGAATCACAATGCAGAGTTTTGAAATCTGGGCCCATTTATTGGTTGATCTGATACCTTGTTAATTAAAGATTGAAATTAGATTGGATTAAAAAAATGAAGGAAAATTTTTTTAATTAACTCGATTCATCTGCACTCGACAATATCTATTTAAAAATTAATTAATTTTTTATTTTTTATCAAAACAATATTATTTTAATTTTTTTAAAAAATAAAATTTAACTTATCCAATTCAATGACTCCATTAAAACCAGGAACTCAAATTGATATTGATATGATATTATTTTAATTAAATATTTGAAACAGTATTTTGATATGATATTTTAATTAAATATTTGAAACAGTATTTTGATTAAGAAGTTAAAAAAACGCCAAGGAGCTTAATGGCTCAAATATATATATAAAACAAATATCTTTTTAATCTTATTTTTGTTTCAACGTGACTTTTTAATTAAATATAACTGATTATTATGTCAAATATTTATTTTAGGAGCACAATGATTTATGAAAATAAATATATAAAAGATCTTATTGATTTTATTTTTATTTTGACATGAAGTTTTAATTAAATATAATTGATTAATATGTGAAATAACACATTGATTAAAATGAAATAATAGCACAATGGTTTAGAAAGAAAGAAAAAAGAGAAATATAAAGGGTTATTTTATTGTATTTTTCCTTTGATATGACATTTTAATTATTATG